TCTAGCACTATTGTGTTGCCTTGTAAATTGAAAACAGACGCTTTTTCTTCTTACTAATTTTTGTGCCAAGTGATCGTCGGAGAGAGTGTTCTACTCTAGTTATCTAAACAATTATTATAATTTATTTTTATAGTCAATTGAGCTATTCTTTAAGTTATTGTTTACAAACAACTTTAGCAAGCTAATTGATCAAATATAACATCATTGTCAGATTACAATAACAGTATGTAAGTGATAGACATGTTATAAATCAGGCCAGGATCCAAAATATTTTAAAGGTTGAGATAAAATTTTAACATATTTTTAAAATATAAAAAAAAGCAAGATTTTTAAAAAAACTACTGATTGCCTATTATTACAAAATGTATAAATTAACTTATATAAATGTGGTATAAATAGAGATGGGCAAAATAAAAAACTTTCATTTTTGCATGTGCACACACATGCATTTTTTGCATGCATGCATTTTTTGGCCAAAACTATGATTTAATTTCTTAATGCTAACCAGAATTAATTGCATGTTTTCTATCTCTAGGTAAAATATTTAATAATTGCTAGCTCTTACAAGTCTTTATAAACAATTTTTTTTAAACAATTTTTGAAGAATTTGTTGTAGCACAGTTAATGACAAATATGAGCAAACATATAGTTAAAAAGCATGTTGATAACTAATGAAACTTTTTTTTTACTTAAGATATAACAGTTGTAATTATTAGATAGCTCATATGCTCTTACTCATTGCCATCAATCTTTCGAGATCATTAAACAATATCATAGAAAATAAAGAGCCAAAATCTTCTTTTTCAATTCTTTTGATGAATTTGAGTCAAAATCCCGAAAAACGGATTCCCGAGAGAACATAATACCGACAAAGTTAGCCGGCACTAGCTATAATTCTGGCCAATTTGGTCGGTGTTATGTTCTTTCGATAATCTGTTGTTCGGGATATTGACCCAAAATCCTTTTAATATTATCTAGTTCACTGAATGAAATCTATTATCATATGCGAAAGTTCTAAGTTGAAATGCTTTCATGCAATCATATTTATGCCATCTTTGTTGCTATTCATTATAATGTGCACACTTATTTTTATTTTACACTTTAAATAGAATGTAAATAACTTTTATGCTAACTAAAATTAATGCGAATGTAGAGATGGGAAATGGTTTAAAACGTAATGTTAAAAAACATGATTGTTTGATTTAAAAATGGTTTTAAATGATTTAATACATTCTGACGTAATCTCTTTTTAAAGTATAAATCATGTTCCGTGGGAGATCTCCATTAAAAGAATTTCGTTCGAATTTTACAAAAGTTACGGAAACTGACAAATTTGGTCGAACCACATCTCGCCAAAAGCGTAACTACTGTGGAGAAAGACTTTGTGGATTTAGTCGCTCGATTAAAGGATCATTTATATAGATGCAAAAAGCTTTCAAAGAGTATGAAAAATTTATTAAATAATGCTGATACTCAAGCCTCCGGAATTAGACGTGGATCGTAAATTAGAAATTTACAAATAGTTAAATCAGAAGCAATTATACATTCCTTATAATTATATAATAAACGAAAGTTTATATAGTGAATATTTTTTCTTTAAAAGTTATCTCTATGAATCAGCCTAAATTTTAAATTTTAATCTCAGCGCCAACGTTTTAAAAGGTATTTTAAACCTAAAAAACTATTTAACCCGTTTTTTTTTCATCCCTATGTGAATGAAATGCTTGTAATAGTAATTATGTAGTAATGTATATACTGTATATAGTAGTCAATAGTAGTAGGTGTATTGCTAACATATCGATATAGTAAATTTAAAACTATAGCTACTACGTACAAAGTAACTATACATCTGCTTTATAGCTAATTGCAAGTATATTTGTAGGATAAATTAGGCATTTCTGTAAAGTTGATAAGCGAAAAAAAAAATTTTTACGTATACGTATTGTAATTCAACAAATATGCTACTATATACTGAATGGTCGTATAATTATTTTTTAGAAACATTATTGGAAATTATTGTCGAGGTCACAAGAGATCAGCATAAATTTTAATCAATAAATTAATTTGACGTGTCGAATGAATTAGTTTGAGAGACATACATACAAACACTAACTACGTTATAACGCGATCGTGATGATCGGCAGGTGGTCAGTAGGGTGAGTGTATATATATCCAAGTATAATTATAACGCATTTAATGAGGTTAAATACAGTACTTTAATTTATATTTAATAAATTTATATAGTTATTAATTTAACTTTAAAATCAATAGTAATATATACAGCTTATTTTAATGAACGTTAATTAAACTTGTAGTATAATTCATTGGTAGTTTTAGGATTCATTAAAAAAGCGAAGACCTTTTAAACAAGTTCAAGCATATATTATAATCCTTTTGGTAATCGTAAATTGAAATTAAAATAAGGAAGTGGTTTGTTCTTTTAGTGATTTTGTAATTAGCCGAAAAAGCAAAGAATAAGATCTTTGACGGTAGACAGATCATATTGTTTTTTTACTTTCTAATTATATGAATATTGAACAAAAGTAAAAGGTTTTTCCAAATGTAATGTGCAGCGAAAGGACCTGCAAATTTAAGATTTACATATATTAAAAAAGAAATGTATAAATACATATATATAAGCTTATATATTTTTTACATATGGTTTCATATTGGTTACATATGGTTATAGTGTCTTATTTTTTTGAAAAAAAATGAACTTATAATGTTAAGAATTTTTTTTTTTTGGAAAGTTAACGATAGAAAATTAAAAATTAATTTTCCAACACTACCCTATACCTAGCCTTTCCATTAAGCACGATCTTGATTCCCTCATTAACGTCTTTCATAGGGACTTTTTGAATCCAGGGCCTAACATTATGCTTTACAGCAAATGCAAGCATATCCTTAATTTCTTGGCGTCCGCCAATCAATGAACCTTCGACTTTTACAAACCTCATGAAAGCGAAAACAGGAATCTGAAGAGGGGCTTCCGGAAGACCGATCAGAATAAGGGTTCCATGATTTTTGATGAAGTTCATATATTTTGACCAATCTGTATTTGGGTTGCAAGAAGTTGAGAGGATTATATCCTGTGAATGAGTGAATTTTTTAACATCATTCGGATCCAAAATATTCAAGAAATGTGTAGCACCAAGTTTAATCGCCTCATCACGTTTTTCACTACTAATATCAATGTAAGAGTTAAAAATTATAATTTGAGCAGATTTTCAAATTACAAGCATCATACCTATGTGAGATCGCGGTAACTTCAGCACCCATTTTGGCAGCCCATTGAATTGCCAAATGACCTAAACCACCAACACCGGCGACACCAACTTTATTTCCAGGACCAACCTTGTGACGTTTTAACGGAGCGAAGGTAGACAAGCCTGCACAAAGCAACGGACAAGCTTCGGCGGAGCTAATTTCTTCTGGAATATGAAAAACGAAGCCTGAATGTGCACGAATTTTATTAGCGTAACCACCTTGAGCTTGATATTTAGTAGGAACACCTTCAGCATCTTTCCACATATCGTTATAGGTAAAAACCTTCTTTGCGCACAATTGATCGTAACCTGCAGTACACTATAGGTTAATATATGGAATTAGAATTTTGATCATCAAAATTGATCAACCTATAAGTTATATTGATATTATTATTGTTATTTACCTCGACACATTCTCCGCACGAATGAACTTGACAACTGATACCGACGCGATCTCCGATATTGAAGCTAACAACTTTAGAACCTTTCTTCAAGACATTACCAACAATTTCATGACCTAGGATAGCTATAATAATAATAATAGGAGTTAATACACCAACAATGATAAAAAAAAATAAAAATTCTTCGATTCAAAACTCAAACAAGATACCTGGATATAAAGTAGGGCGCCAACCAGACCTCATCGTATGCAAATCACTACCTATTCCACGGTTCCTCTAATTAGATTTCAATTGAGTGAGACGATGACATTAAACATTAAACAAATGCTTTATTAATACCCACCGCATATACCGCAATGCGAGATCTCCACTTCGATATCCTCATCGCCTAATGGCTTAGGAATATAGGAATAAGGCTTTAGACTGCTTTCTTTGTCATAAGCAGCATAGCCATGAAATTCTTCAGCCATTCTCTATTTGCTATTATATTGGGAAGGAATACAAGTTGATTAGTAAATTGGCAAGAAGTTGTTAAAGGGGACCGACTCGAAGATTGAATTAGATCGTACAATTTATCACAAGTTGTGTTACAATATTGATCGTAACATGTGAAATTTTGTTACACGATTTATGACACAAAAAAACGTTTTTTAAAATTGGTAGTTTATTTTATTAAGGTTAAATTATATATATTGTCTTGCCGACTGTTGATAATTTCCATTTTAGATTACAGACGCAAATGAACGTTAAAGGTCTAAATACAAATGAAAAGAATTTATTAGAGAATATACGTAATAGAATATATAGATAACTATAGTCAATATATGGAAATTGAAAAATTAATGAAGAAATTGGTAAATTTTATAATCTAATTTGCACCTGTGGTAAAGGTTTTCAATTAGGTTGACTTAATTTGACTAAGTGACCCTTTTTGATCAATCTAGGCTTTTTATTTTGGTTATTTTGCCTAAATTGTTCAAAGAAGTCACTATTATCATCTGCCAATGAATCGACCTTTTTAGTTGCGTCTGGATTAGGGCTTTCTTTTAGGTGGATAATATTAAATATATATAGAATTGAAGAATTTTAATATAAAATCTTTTATAGGCGAAAAGATACGAAAAATTAAAACTTACCAACACTAATAGTTACGTTATCTTTACTTTGTGAAGGATAGCTATCAGTGACTACATGCAGTAGAATGGTGGTCAATTATTGAATGATATGGTACGTAGTGAACGAAATATATGAAAATATTTTGCTTTTTGACTATTTGAACTAAAATAAAAAAAAAACTCACGTTCTAAATTAGTTAGACCACTAGTGCATACTAGGAGAATGGTAAGACGATAATTTAGAATTAGTTTAATTATTGTTGGATTTTTAATAACTGCGTAATGTACCTATTCGCTCTGCAAACATAGGTCATAAAACATTAAAAAAATGTTTTAACTGAACAGAGCTCTTACAGCGTTTTTATAAAGTTTGTGCAGCATTTGTACAGCAAAGGGCGCAGCGTCTTTGTTAATATATATAAAATTTTAAGTTATATAAATATTGTGGCGAATTACTCTTTTAAATGATTGCTCGATTTTATATATGAACGTGAGTTCGCCACAATATCCTATATATGTATTTACTTATTTCTTCGTAGCGTTTCGGACGAATCCGAAATATTTCTTTTCAGGCGAAATTATTTCTTATTTACAAATATTTCGGACTTTAGAAAGTAGTTCAGAATGTGTTTAGCCCGAAACGCTAAATCATTCTGAATTTTGAGTTGTGCTTATGATAGTCATATAATCTCAAAAAAATAAAGTTGTCGTATAGTTTAAAAAGAAAAATTGATTTCACTATTTTCCTGTGCAGAGGCTGAAGGATATTGCACAGACGTCGTACAAATGCTGTACAAACTAATACTTTATCAGCAATTATGAATCGATTAAAATAGGACTAATTTATGCTCTTTAAGACTGTAAGATGGTGTAACGATTCAAATGTTGCAACACAATACTACGTACGTATATAAAATTTAAACAAATAAAGATACATGTTTACAACTTACCTAATGATGCTTTATGAGACATAGTAGGATGTAGGGTGCTTTCGCCTTCATAAATATTTGTAGTTACTTTGTTTGGAAAAGTTACATTTTTTGGAGTTGGGTTCTTCGATTCTGCTTCATATTCACTTAAAAAAAAATAATAAAGGTCCTCAGCTGATGGTCTCTTATCAGGATTTTGATTCCAACACAACTCTATCACGTGTTGAAAATTTTGTGGCAATCCACTCGGAATTAGAGGCCGATGTCCATTTAGAATATCTAAATTAAGCGTTTGATTATTACATTCAAAAGGATTTTGACCGGCAGCTACGTAATACATAAGCATGCCGATGCTGTATATATCAGATTTTGTCGTGTAATTTCTATTTTCTAGTACTTCGGGTGCTATAAATGGAGGCATTCCGTATACTACAGTTCTTTCTTTACCAACTGGTCCAGAAACGCCAAAATCTGAAATCTGAAATAAATTGCCCTTTGATTTTAGAATATTTCCACAATGTAGGTCACAGTGTACGAGCCCATCTCTATGCATATTGTATAAGTCCTCTAATTTTTATTACATTGAATAAATTATAAAAAGATTAGTTTTGTTTAATAAATTGCTGGTATAAGATCAAAAGCATTCAATTATCATAAATGATTATTCACCTGAAATATTATAAAATATTTGATAAGTCTCTTTCCAAGTAATTTTGTTATATGAATTCTTAATATAAGATCTTAAATCTTGTTCATAATTAGCAAGCACAAGAATGTAATCACCGGTAACGGGATTTCTTGTTATGCCATAACATGTTGCAACAGTATAGCCTTTTGAAGTCAGTGAAATATGAGTTCCTATCTATTGTTATTATTATTTAAAAAAATGCGTTATTTCGGCGATCAATTATTTAAATCAAGTATAATGATAATTCATTAACATCCAGAAATTTACATTTTTTCTAAATAAAGTCTTTTTGATAACTTTATATTTTAAAATAATGCAAATTTCTGTAAACTCTATCATTCATAAAATTACCTCTTTAAGGAACCTCTCATCTGTATTTTTACCGTTCGAAAGGTTTTTAAGAATCACAATACCCGGTTCTCCTCTTTCAAATTCTTGTTTTTTGCTATTAAATGACATTATAACTCCTTTTTTCCAAATAGTAGTATAAATTGTTGCGAATCCTCCTTTTGCTTTATATTTTGTCTTTTCGTGATCGAGATCGTCATATGGTATCCATTCGACGATGTATCGGGGAAAAGGAAGGTTGATTTGTGCATCTTGAATGGCATCGTCAATAATTTTACTTCCTGATGTCCAATTGGGAAAGTTATCCACGAGAAATTTACGTACGCAATGCTCGCAAAACAATTTGGTGTATCCCAACTTTTTACACTTTCCCGATTTGCAAGGATATTTAATTTCCTTTAGACGAATGAGGTTTTCACGATCTCTCATGAATGCTATATTTTCCTCCGCTGCTTTTTTTTCATCATTGTTTAATCGATTACTTTCTTTTATTCGGTTTAACATATAATCATATTGCTCATTGAAAGTTGTTTCGGGAGCATTTAGTTGAGCAATATCGCATTCTTCATTTATTAAATTCCAACGAAGCATTTTCGGTTTTTTTTCACTTTTACGAATTTTTGTACATTCGTTTCCCATATTTTTATTCGGAAATTTTTATTAGGTATTAACAATTAAATATAAAAATATGCATCACATAATACTAATTATTTATATGGAAAATAAAAAATTGATGAATTGTTTAGGTGACACAATTGGGATAATAATAAGACGGCCCGGAGAAAATTTGGAATGAATGGTCATTAAGACATGCGCACGTTTCAAATTAAAATCTTGATTATGTGATACAATGCATAAAATTAACTATTATTTCGCACAATGCATAATTAAAACAAAGGTTAAAATTAATACTGTTATCCTAACTTGTATTAGGCTGTTCTCAAGTTATTAGTCAAATGAAGATCGAAACTTGAATTTCCGTTATTTCGAATTAAACTGAGTGTAATCGTCTGATTTTAAATTTTGCTGAAACTGAAAATATTATCAGCCGAGAAAGTTTTTTTAAAAAAAAGACGGTGAATTTTTATTAGATATTATATACATAAAGAAAAAATAATATATTTGATCGGTTTAATTTTTATCAAAGCTAACCACGAAATTTGCTTATCGGCCAATACAACCTTTGATTCATATAAATATTAGTTTTAAATGACCTTTTTTAATCGGCAACTAAATCTACAGTCTTCTTCGCAAATAATTATATTTTGGCGAGCTGTTGTTCGATCATGTTTACACGCATCAGTTTAAACGGATTTCTTTTCCATGAACAAGAGACATTGGTTTTAAGTATTTTTTATTCTATTTTTTTTTATAGTAATCATAAAATATTATACATATAAATTTCGCAATCGGGTCATAATTACGTCATAATGTATTAAAACAGATTTAAATCAAACAATCGATCGTGTTTTAAAACCTTTGCCGCCATCACTAGCTATAGGGAAAATAGTTTCGGTTTGAAGAATTATTATTATCATTATTATTAATAGTTTATAAACTGTCATAATTTGAGTTTTCATATAATACTATATATATATTTTACTATATGCTCATTTTTGTTAAACCATCCTAAAAAAAATATTGTCATCATTTTTATCCATATTATGTGATACGATCGTAACTTTTACGCTTGTCCAGAATCGGAATTTATTAAATGCTAAAGACCGAGTTTGATCTCCAATTTTCACTTAATAAGAATATTTATCTTAACCTTTATAAATTATGCGTGGTGACATAATAGATGATTTTATGCATTGTACGCATTGACTTTAAGGTCGCATGAACTTAATGACAATAAACGCCCAGGAGTCTTAATATTATTCAATTAAGTAGGTCTGATTTTATGGTGCGGAAGGTATTGTGGCGCACTTGTATTTTTTACGATCCACTGTCCAGAAATGAACAATTCTAATACCATTCTCGATTAGCGCTAAAGGCAACTTGTAAATTGATTAACCTTAATACTGACGTATAATTTATTTGCCATATAATATGTATATAATATATTATATCTGATATGTATAGTGTGTCATAATACTCCTAACAAACAAAACATACCAGTTTTTAGAGGGGTTTAAAGTTCTGAAATTGATTTTCTTTTTTATAACGGTCAAGTACGTATAATCTCACTTGACATTATACAGAGTAATGATTTAATTAGGGATCTGTAAGTTGCAGCACTACGATCTATATGTCAGGGCTAAAACGACACATAGTAAATACCGGCCATTCAATAAGTATACAAAAATTGTCGAATAACAGTAATTGTCGCAGATCATAATGAAATCGGATTAAAATGAAACTGGGGACCTTTCTTGCTCACCTTTAAAGCTTATA